GTAGAAGCAAAATCTCCCCACTGAACTCTGTGCCTCCAGTCTCCCCTTCCAAGTGAATTGAAGACACATTTTCCAAACACTTGCATGTGCCTAGAGCCAAGGACTCAGAGCGATAAAATGGGCCTCCTGCCCTTGGAGCTCTCTGCAGCGGGACAGCCTCCTGCGCTGCCTGGCTTCACACACAGTGGCAGCACATCCCGAAGTCGGTCGCTGTGCTGTCCTACAACACGCTGGTTAGGATCTTGCACACTATGGCTCAGCATCCTTGGTTCAAATCCCAGCCATGCTACTTACCATCTATGTGGACTTGGGCGGGCTGTTCAACCTTGGGTCCTCAGTGTCTTCATCTTAAAAAAGGGTAGCATAAAATGAAATAAGTCAGATGGAGAAAGTCAAATACTGAATGATTTCACTCATAAGTGGAAAATAAAAACAACAACAACAAACACATAGATATAGACACTAGATTAGTTACCAGAAAGGAAAGGGGGAGGGGAGAGGGCAAAAGGATAACAGGGGACATGTGTACGGTGACGGATGTAATTAGTCTTTGGGTGCTGAACGTGATGTAGTCTACACAGAAATAGAAATATAACAATGTACACCTGAAATTTATATAATGTTATAAACCAATGTTACCTCAATAAAAAAATAAAAAAAAATAGACTAGCACTGTTTTACCAGAACAGTCCCTGTTACACAGTCAGTTTTTGATACATGTTAGCTATTATTATTATTTTTACTCTTGCCATTGCTATTGTCCAGAAACAATTTTAACTTCTCTGATCAGGCTTTCCAGACTCCCATCACTGTCCTCCCTTCCAGGTCAACATTCTTCTCTCCATAGAGTCTAGTGTGAAGCTGGAACCACCTGGAAAGTCTCACCTCCTCCCTTTTCCTTTCAAAATGTATGAAACAGCTTCTGCTTGTTCATCTCACTGCTCCAGATGCTTCTTCAGCTGGCACATGCATGCCAGCTGTTTGCCCAGTTCTGTGTTGCTGGTGCCTCTGTCTCCCGCCCTGGTCTATCTTCAAGGAAAAGGAACAACTGGAAAACTTAGAAAAGAACACATCTTTCCCTTCTGGTCCTTCCAGAGCACCTACCCATCCATCCTGTTTGACGATAGCTTCTCCTCTTCTCATATTAATGCAGCACACTTATAAAGCTTACATTTAATAAAAATAACTTCTTTTACTTTTTCACTTATTAAAGCTTTTACTCTCTATCAGGAGCTATAACTTGGTGAGCCTTGGCGTTTGGAGGGCAGTTCTAAGAAATGGGCCGGAGAACTTCTGAGATTCAAGGGTAGAGAATTGCACCTGCCAGGCCTGAGGAGAGAATGTGCTTAGTAGCTTACCAGGGCACAGCAAGAATGGAAACTTACATATCTTTGTGACAGGAGGTGATGAAATCCTACCAAGAAGCACCAAGTGGCAGATGTGGGGTCCTATTTTCCCAAAGTCACAAGTGCTTGAAGAGAGATTTTTGTCTGATAAAATGATTGCCACATGAGCGATCTTGCATGCACAGCAACTTTGAGAGCCATCTGGGAGCTAGGTGTGTAGTGTTTATCACGTTGTTGAGGCTCGTAAAAATCTTGTATGGCTGCAGGCAAGCCAAACCCTTGAGAGGCACTCCATCCCGCTGACTCGGGGACCAAGCCCAATTTGCTCCCTGTATATAAAGGGAAGTCTCTGTGCTTGGGATAGAGGAGTGCGAGCTCCTTCCCTTTCTCGACTCTGCTTCTGCTCTCTCTAAGTCAACATGAGCCGATGTTTTAGTTCTGTGTCTGGCCGCCGGGGGGGAGCGGGCTTCAGCTCTGGCTCTGCTGGGGTGGTCAGCTTCCAGCGCAGGAGCACTAGCAGCTCCGTGCGTCGTAGTGGTGGGGGCGGCGGCGGATTTTCAAGGGGAAGATGTGGTGCTGGGGGTGCTGGCGGTGGTTTTGGAAGTCGGAGTCTTGTTAACCTTGGTGGCAGTAAAAGTATCTCCATAAGTGTGGCTGGAGGAGGTAGACGTAGTGGTTTTGGTGGTGGTTATGGCGGCAGCAGCTTTGGGGGTGGTGGTTACGGCGGTGGTGGCTTTGGGGGTGGTTTTGGCAGTGGTGGTTTTGGGGGTGGCTTTGGCAGTGGTGGTTTTGGTGGTGGCATTGGCATTGGAGGTGGTTTTGGTGGAGGTGGTTTTGGGGGTGGTTTTGGGCCTGTCTGCCCCCCTGGTGGCATTCAGGAAGTCACCATCAACCAGAGCCTTCTGCAACCCCTCAATGTGGAGATTGATCCTGAGATCCAGAGAGTAAAGTCTCGAGAAAGGGAGCAAATTAAGACCCTCAACAACCAGTTTGCCACCTTCATTGACAAGGTGAGTTCGTTTGCTCAGTGCACTGGGAGAGCTGCTCCTGGTTCGTTTGAGATCAGCCCAGCCAAGACATGATTGAGTTTGAGCTTCAAGTTTCCATGTTTGGATGATTAAAAGGATATTTTGTGGAATTGTCTTCTAGGAGATACGTTGGAAGTGTGCTTGTGCATGATGCTAATAACTAAACTCTCTCTTGGACAGAGGGATCCGTGGTTTATACAAAAGTGATCTATTTGACACCACCTTGAAGCGTTTTTTTATTTAGCTCTTGAGTTGAATTGGTACTCACATGTGTTGAATGAAGATAGTAGAAATGGGGCTAACTCAGCATTCTAGGGTGCAAATAGAAGCCTGGAAATGTCTTCCTAACTGCAGAAAGGGAGTTGAGGGTGCACAGAGTGCATGTGATATCCCAGCAGAAAGTATGTAGTGAGTCAGTGCTAAACATCTTTTGCTATCAGAAGGAGAGCTCTGAGAATTCTACATTGGGACCACATCAGGGTAGAGATTTTTTAATACTTATATTTCCGAGTATCTGCTCTGGAAAAACATGTAAACCATTTTTTATTTTTTGCTTAATCATCAATAATGTCAACTCAAGGTTATCCACAATAGATTTGGAATTCAATTTTGGATTTTCCCAACATGCTTTTGAATTATGGTATGCTCAGGGAATGCAAACCAATTTTTATAGTAATCTACCAAAAAAAAAAAAAAAATGGAAGGCAAATCTCTTAAGTATCATGCATCTATTTCAAAGTGTAATTTGCAGTAATTTTCTATATGCTTTGCTGTTTGGTGTTTGTGTAGCTACTGCCTTCTAAAGTTCCAACTGAAACAGGACTACAATTGCTGTTCTTAGGGAAATTAAAGCTTCTCTGAATTAACAGTGAATTGGGTTTTGTTATGAAGATGATGCTAACTTGATTACCTTCTTCCTATTTCTCTGTTTGTCATGGCCAGGAAAACAGGAATTGAAGTTCTTTTCCAAAAGAGGCACGGGTCTCATGTGTGGTAGCCCTTGGAACTCAGGGGCCATGGGACTCCATTTCTGCCCTGGTGGGTAATGGGGTTTTGTGTTCTTAGGTGCGGTTCCTGGAGCAGCAGAACCAGGTGCTGCAAACAAAGTGGGAGCTGCTGCAGCAGGTAGACACCTCCACTAGAACCTACAACTTAGAACCCCTTTTTGAGTCATACATCAACACTCTGAGAAGGCAAGTGGAACAACTGAAGAACGACCAACCTCGTTTGGATTCAGAACTGAAGAACGTGCAAGACCTGGTGGAGGATTACCGGCGCAAGTAAGGAAACCTGGCTGGGCAGTTCTTGATTTTCATTCTAAAGTATGTCCAGAAAGTGGCAAGCTAAGACTATGAACTGTAAGCAATAACGTCTTTTCTTAGGTTAGAGGCAAATAAATTTGGCATTTTCAGACATCTTCATCTTCTCAGAAGCTGGAAATAGTTTAGTGGTTCTATTCCTCAGAAGAAAGGGGTGGCTGAGATGTCCTAGGCTAGTGACAGGAAAGCAATGACAGGCAATGCCAATTTTAGTCTAGAAAGCTGAACTCCAGGCCTCACCTTCTCTGAATCTCCTAATCACTTCTGATTTCCTTGCAGGTACGAGGAAGAGATCAACAGGCGGACAAATGCAGAGAATGAATTTGTGACCATCAAGAAGGTGAGCAAATTCTGTAGGATGGACCTCACATCTGAAATATGTAAGAGAAGGGGTTCTCCACTCACTAAGCAGAGAGAATTCACAGTGTGGAGAACCAGGTAGCAGGCCTGATGAATATCTGAAGTAGAGTTTTTCCCCACATTACGATGGACATGGACTATCCAGGCACTTGCTTCTCCAGATCTCTCAGCACTTCGTGTAGTAAGTGGGGAGGCAGGTTCTCAGCAAGTCAGGCATCCTCCCTCATGACTGTGATACCAAGGAGTGGGGCAATCTAGGGATTGTGGTCCAGCTGTGGGATAAAGGCATAGAGTAGACTCCAAACACCTCTTCTACTTGGAGAATCCCCTCTCAGCTGGCGAGAGGGACTTGCCCTGGGAAGAATACGACTTTATGATGTCCATTGTTCCTCTAGGACGTGGATGCTGCTTATTTGACCAAGGTGGACCTCCAGGCTAAAGTTGACAACTTGCGTCAGGAAATTGAGTTCCTCACAATACTCTACCAAGAGGTAAGTCCTCTAATTTCAACCAAGTTTACCCAAATGGAGAGCCTTTAAGCCCGAATCCACTCAGAAGAATAGAGATATAGCTTCCATCTCCTGACCCCTTCCTCTAAGTTGTTTGTTGTTTTAACACTATAAGAGTCACTGAACTGTTATGTCTTGCAGGAGCTGTCTCAGTTGCAGACTCATATCAGCGACACCAATGTCATCCTGTCCATGGACAACAACCGCTTCCTGGACCTGGACAGCATCATCGCTGAGGTCAAGGCCCAGTACGAGGAGATCGCCCAGAGGAGCAAGGCTGAGGCCGAGGCCCTGTACCAGACCAAGGTGAATGGGCTCAATGCCTAGCCAGTTTTCCCAAAGTGTCTTCTCTTTCCATCCTGGGTTTTCTCTTATGTTTGTGTGCATGAGGCATGGTGTGCTCCGCCACGTCTGATTGACTTGATCCACCATCTTTAGTATGAAGAGCTCCAGATCACTGCTGGCAAACATGGAGACAGTTTGAGAGATTCAAAGATAGAGATTTCTGAGCTGAATCGGGTGATCCAGAGACTTAGATCTGAAATCGACAGCGTCAAGAAGCAGGTACTTGCTTCCTCCTTCTATTGTTCAGGTATATGGAATGGGGGAGATCCTCAGGTAATTGGAGGACACTTTCCTTGTTTTGAATCTTGTGATCCATAACAAAGTTATATTATTATCCCTAGTTCCTTTGGTGACTATGCTGGTTTCCAGAATTCAGTCAATATGCTGGGTTCTCTTTAGGGAAACTTGTGAATATGACCTAGTAGAGAAATAAATGTGATGATAGTCATGGTGATCTAGCCCATGGTACAAAGGAGACTTCAGAGATGGTGAGTGAGGGCAGGCAGCCAGGAGGTTTCAGGGTAGGCATTTAGAAGAATATCAAGTCTGTAAGGCATGGAGGAGCCTCAACTCAGGGCCAAGAGAGAATGCTGCATCACCTTTAAGGGCTTTTAAGGAAGTCAACACAGTGATGTGCTCTCTAGAGGCAGGCGAATGCGTGAGATGACTTAAGCTCCTGTGGTTCAATTGGACCCAGAGTACTGGCCTCACTGGGGTGGAGAGGTCAATTTGAGATGAGAAGGCCAAGATGAAATTAGGTAAATGAGTGTGTCATGTGCTGGACTCTCTTTTCTCAGATCTCTGCGCTGCAGCAGTCCATCAGCGATGCTGAGCAGCGTGGTGAGAATGCTCTCAAAGACGCCCGGAACAAGCTGGCTGAGCTGGAGGATGCCCTGCAGAAGGCCAAGGAGGACCTGGCCCGCCTGCTGCGTGACTACCAGGAGCTGATGAGCACCAAGCTGGCCCTGGATCTGGAGATTGCCACCTACAGGACCCTCCTGGAAGGAGAAGAAGTCAGGTGAGGAAGGGACCCTGGGCAGTTTGGCCACTTCTGATGTGCTTCCCTCCATGTGAACTGACTGCTATTGACGAAGCAGCCATGTGACTGCAGCTGGTCCTGAGGATGGGGAAGGGGGAAGGGAAAGGTACACAGTGAGGGAGGAAAGACTTGGTTTCACTTTGGGAGCCAGAGTCCCAGTTTTCTTTTTTGAGGTTTGTAGCATCTCTATGAAGCTCTTTGAGATGGAGTGATTTAGTCTTCATCTGGGCTGGCTCAGATGTCATCTGGCCTAAAGTCAATGCCTTTAGAGGTGGCCTGCATTAGCTGCAAGATCTTGTCTAATATATATGGAGATTTCTCCCTGTTTGTACTCATGCTGAGAAAAATGACAAAGGTTCGGGCGGCAGGAGGGGACTGGATTAGGTTTCGGATCAAGTGGATTGGGGGAGCCCCAGATGGACACAATCTTCAAGAGGGCTGAGAGGGCCTAGGGAAGCGGTTTGTCAAGCTGGAGAGTCATGAGTCACTTTCCTTTCTCCTACAGGATGTCTGGAGAGTGTGCCCCCAACGTGAGCGTGTGTAAGTACACGCCGATTTCTCAGGGGCATGTGTGGGTTTTGCTGGGTTGGACAGGCAGTTGGGGTTGAAGGTAACTGAGTGTTCCCTTGCAGCTGTGAGCACCAGCCACACCAGCATCAGTGGAGGTGGGATCCGAGGAGGCGGCGCTTTCAGCTCTGGCGGCGGTGGTGGCTACAGCTCCGGAGGCGGTTACAGCTCTGGAGGTGGCGGCGGCGGCTACAGCTCCGGAGGCATCAGCGGGAGCCAAAGAGGCGTCTCTGGAGGCGGCGGCGGCAGCACTGGCGGCTGGGCTTCTGGTGGCGGGGGCTCTGGAGGCAGTTTCAGCTCCTCCGGAGGCCGGGTGATCAGCTCTGGGGGCTCCAAGACCTCTGGTGGCAGTTCCAGCGTGAAGTTTGTTTCCAGCAGCTATTCCCGAGGGACCAGATAAAGAGGTGCTCTCTATCCTGTTAGCTCTCCCTCCCATCACTACCAATTATGCTTGGCAAGACCAAGGTCAATTGCCTCGACCTTAGTGGAGAAAAGAGCTATGGTTAGTTACACGGATTCGTCCTGATTCCCCTGCTCTTTCCTTTCTACTCTGCTTCCCAAAGAAGTTTTCAGATCAGTGGCAGTCTCAGTCCCTGGCTATGACCCTGCTTTGTGCTTTGCCTGAGAAACAGCTCAACACACACTACATTTCAAAGCACCTCCTTAAGTCAGCCAGAGGAGGGCTGGTTAGACCCACAGCTTCTTCGCTGCATGGAGCACACACTCTGGACAGCCCCTCAGTCTCCTATCTCTTGCAGCAAGCTCTGTGCTGCTTTGGTTTTGTATATAAGGTGTAAGCAAGTTGATCGTCTTTTGTGGAGAGGTCCTAAACTCCCGTTTCCTTGTGTTGCTGCAATAAACTGCATTTGAAATTCTCTATGAGTCTCCATCGCCTTTGTTCATGGCGCTGTCTATCCTGGATGAATGCTTCGTGGGAGGGAAAGAAGACCCTAGAGCCCCATGGTGTATGGGGACGTTGGGACACATGAACATGATGGGCAGTATGGGGAGGCGGGTCAGGCAACATTTGACTTAAAACATTAAACATTTAACCAGAACGAGCTCTTTCTCAGAGAGTGGAAATGTCATGGAGAAATGGAGAGTTTGGGGTATTCACCTGAGAAGGCTTTCTTGAAAAGGGCAGTGAACAAGCAGGTTGGGAAGAAGGAGTTTGGCATTGAGAAGAGGGGAAAGTATTGCATGGAAAAGTAATTGTTCATGTGGAACAGCCTATGATGAGAGGGATGTGGATAATCCAGGATCAGCAGCTACTACACCCAGAATACAGACTTTGGCCTGGGTAGTTCAAGAACCAAGAGTGCTTCTGGAGAGCTGGATATCCATTTCCTCTCTCTTTCAGGCCACGACCCAAAGCTCTGCTTAATCTAAGAAGTTCATTTGTGGGCATATAGCCTGTACTTGTGAAGTAGTACAATGGGACAGCATAGAGATCAGAAGCAATGGACTCAGATATGCCTGGGTTTGGATCTTACCACCATCATTTACTCACTCTGTGACAATGTGTAAGTTGAGGACCTCTCTGCACCTCAGTTTTATCTTCTCTAAAAAAAATGGGTATAACAATGCCTTCCTTGTGGGAATTATTGTAAGGACTGAATGAGATGATGAAGGAACATGGCTTAGCATATAGTAAGCACTCAGTGAGTGCAAATTTTAATGACAATGGCAGTGATGATGATGATGATGATGATCTGGCTGTTATAACATTGCTTGTTGGTCTCCAGATGGCTCAATAGATGCTTGCTCTAAGGAACAAATGAACATCAGCTTCCCAGTGGTTCCATGACCATGGAAATCTCAGTTAACTTCTCTGAAGATCAATTTTCTTAGCTTCCAATTAGGAAAAGTCTTTCTAGCTCCAGTGTCAACCAGAGCTGAGGGGAATAAAGAGAGTATAAATCAACACGTGTATCATGTATGTACAACGCAGCGAGCTCTCCCTCTCCTCCCCAGTCATGCCTTCACCAGAGCTGCTTCCTGTTTGGACTGATGTGAAAGTCTGGAAGGCATTATGGTGGATAGAAAGAACAAGAAACTTTGATTCAGAGAACACTCTGGTATTTAAGGTGCAGGCAAAGGAAAATAATCCACAGCTTCCTGGATGTGTGGATCCTCGGACAAGTCACTTGACCATTCTGAGCCTCTGTTGCAGGTGAAATGGGATGAGAATACTTGCCTCTAGACATCAAGAGGATAAAATATGTAATGTGAAAATGCTTCGTGAACTGTGAATGTGTCATCATAAATGGTTAAAGGAGATTAAAAGGGAGTGACAAAGAAGTAGAAGAAGGCAGCTGGCTGTCAGGACCACCAAGGAGGGAAGTACTGTCAGGACCACCAAGGAGGGAAGTACTGTCAGGACCACCAAGGAGGGAAGTACATTGACATGGTTACTGTGGCCCAGTGACAGCTCTGAAGGGACATAAAATTGATTTTGCTAATGCACCCAAGTTGTATCTGCTCCTGAGGTCTGATACTTGTGACCCAAACACACAAGTGATGGATGTGTGAACCAGAATGTCCATGTATTAGCTTGTGGGGGAACCTACATTTTCAGTGACTGAAATACCAGAGCCTCTCCATCCTGTTATCAAGACACCTGGGAAACTGAATTAGTCATAAAAGGCAGCTTAGTGCTTGTTGATTTAGAAAAATGGGAGTTGGGTGGCCTTGAGGGAGATGGTTTACTCTCCTCCACGGGAGAGCAGACCTCTGGGGCCACCAGATACAGCACCTGGGATACTGTTGAATGAACGGATGAGGGTATTCTAGTACTCTGGCACACGTTTCCTAATTTCTTTCTTGGGTTACAACTTTCTTTAGTCACATTTCAGTATTGAGAATACCCTTGTTCATCTTGTTTGGACTTGGGTTTTCTTGGTAAGGTCAGACACGAAACAGAGACCACCACAATTCACAGTGAAACTTACCAAAACTTGTAAGGTCATAGGACTAAATGAAAATCCTGTGTAAGTCAGTATATAATGAAGAACTAAACTGAGTAAGATCAAGTACCCAAATGCTTTAGTACTAGAAAGAGAGCAAAGGAAAAATCTGGATTCTGTTCACTTCAACAAACAGTTCCTGCACACACACTATGTGTCAGGGAGAAGGCCGAACACTGGGGACGTTATGATGAGTGAGACATGGTTCTTGCTCTCAAAGGGCTTGGAGACTTGGTGATGGTGAGTATGCAAAGGTGCACATGACCCATACGATGATAGAAACACAAGGTATAGAAATGGTATATACCGAAGTGCGGGTGATTAAAAGCAATACCTGGCAGGGTTTTAGAGGAAAAATAGGAGTTTGTCAGGCAGACAAGGAAACTCAAGGCAAACAAGGATATTTAAGGCAGAGAAAGACACCCCAGGCAGAAGGAATTATGTGGGTAAAGACATGGAAGAGTGAAATTGCATGAAGTATTTGGTCATCTGAAGAAGCATGAAGTTAGTGACAAGAAATGAGGGTGAAGAGTTAGTCAGATCCAATCAAGAAGGGCCTCGTAGGTGTTCAATGGAGTCTGGACTCAAGTTTGTGGGTCAGAAGTTCTCAGATGGGGTTTTGGGACCTATTGGCTTATTACAACCTACTATTTACTGGGCCAATGGGAGAGAAAGGGGCTGCCTTACTGCTAGTGGAATAAGCGTCGAGCATGAACTATAGTCTGTCTTGTACTTGAGTGTCCCCTAAGAAGTCCGATCTGCCTATGGGAGATCTGCTCATGGAAATGTCATGTTCTTCAGGTATTTTATAGCTGAAACAGCTGGGATAGATGAGGAGGAGCCAGGAAAGGAATTTAAATAGGAGAGTGACATGGTCAGATTGGTGTTTGAGAGACATCACTTAGGTCAGATTGGAGGGGCCCATACTGGAGGTAGGAAGATTTGTTAAGAGATTATTGAAAAGGTGCAGGCAAAAGACCATCAAGGCTTGCACCTCAGTTCAAGTCCTTAGAGGTGGCAGAGTGGCCAGAAACGAGGACGAGGATCTGCATTCCAGAGGCAGTTGGGAGTCAAATCATCAGGACTTGGTGATGGATTGGATGTGGATTGCGGAAGGGCAGGGGTGAGGCCAAGGGAAAAGTTGAGGGTGTTTCCACATTGCTGGCTTGGGTAATAACACATATACCAAGAGGGTTCGTGGCGAGAAATGATGAGTTAGTTCTTTCGAGGTATCTCTACTCTATCTATGTAATTATTGGGGCTAGTGTGAACTGAAGAGTCATCAAAATTTGAAAGTTCGAGTAAACCATCAGACAACTAGGGAAGAAGGGGCAGAGGAACAGTTGCAGAGAACTCGCGGTAGGAAAGCCAGAAATATACGGGAGAAACTTGCTCAAATGGAGAAAACGTAATGGCCACGAGACCAGTCATAATTCTTCAGGGGCTGTCCAGCCAAGATACTGAGCTCCGCCAGGTCTAATGATGACCTCCCAAAATCTTAGACTCCAATATCTCATCCCTGGGTAGGTCCAGTGTGCATCTGACGCTTGGTGCTTATCTAAGTAACAACATTCAAAAGGAGGGAAATCCACAAGTACAACCGTGCGATAAAAATTCTCCTGTCCCCCACCACCGAGTTCCCTTTCTCTGTGGCAACCATAGTTTCTTAGAGTATCCTTCCAAAGGTATCTATGCACATACAAGAAAAGATCTACATATATATTTATTCTCCTTTCTCAGATGTTCTGCCACCCTGACCTTCCCCCTCCCCCTCTAGCAGACTTGACTGTCTCTACTGTGTTGGGGTTTGAGCTGCACATTCTTCAGCAGATAAGCCTCTTGGAATCTAGCTGTGGCTTGTGCACATATGCCACAGCCTATGATCCAATTTAAGCATTTTGCCCTCACCTTAAGATACCTGCACATACCTCCTCTCCCTGGGTCTAGATCCCCGTGTCGCGCTCCTAGTATCTCAGCACTAGAACAGATTCCTTCCCTTCGCCCATTGGCCGACTGAGTCTTGGGGCTCCCCTTGGGCCATTCTTCTTCCATGAATGGTCACAGTGTTGCAGCTGTCAGTTCAGTGGCCAGTCTTCTTTCCATAACTAGCCAAAGTGTCTTTATAACTGTGTGGCTCTTACACAGCCTCCTCTCTAATAGAGTTCTGAGATTCATCTAACTCTAGAGAAGAGTGGACTTCCTACCTTCTCCTCTCCCCACACACTAACTGCCTCCTCTCCCACAATTCCAGGCCTAAGACAACTGTCTAGTGCCCCTGGGAAAACAGCAGAATCCAGCAACTCTTCCTGCAGCCCTTGCTTCTAAGATCCTAGTTCAGCTTGTCTCAAGTCTGCCATCGCCACTCTTTCCCTTGGGGAATGGTCTTCATTATCCTCAGGGGCTGTTCACTAGTCCCTGGGAGAAAGAATTCCAAAAGATGATCTTGAACCAGAGCCTATGGTTTTGCATGGAATTTTAGGAACCATAACCTCCCAAGACAGTGTTCGTTGGAGTGGGGACCTTCTGTTGGTCCCTTGGGGGGACTACGGGGAAGTCTCATACAACTGCCTTGTCCTATCAACAATGTGGGTGGAAAATTTAACAGGGACTTTATGGACATTGATAAAAGTTTCTTTTGAAAAAGAATATTCTTTCTTTAGGTCAGTTATTCTAAAGATATCAGTCTTATTGTCCTCTATTTCATAACAAAAACTAAAGTAACATCCTTTTACCGTCAGGAAGAGAAAAACATAGATGGCATACCTTACAATCGCATATAATTAAAACAAATCAACACAATGCTTTCACTGTAATTTGAAGGAGACACAAAAGGGAAAAAGCTGGTAGTGATATCATATATATTTCTCTTTGTAAATTCTCAGGCAGGGCTGTATTGGAAAACCTACTAACA